ATAGGCAAAAATCTTATGAATAAAACCTGATCACACAGGAAGTATCACAAAGAATCAACAACTGGGATCTCATCTTATTAAAAAGCTTTTGCACAGCAAGAGAAACCAACAGATTGAAGAAATAACCCATGAGCCAGGAGAAAATGTTTATCAGCTGTTCCTAAGATAAAGGATTACTATCAAGAACATACAAAGAACTCAAAAAAAGTATAAGCCCTCCCAAATTTAAAGACCCAATCAAAAAATCTGAGATAAATATACACTTCTCAGATGAAGAAATACAAATAGCAAATAAATATATGAAGAATGTTTAACATTACTGGTCATTCAGGAGATGCAAATTAAAACAACACTGAGGTTCCATCTCACCCCAGAAAAAATGGATATCATCAAGAAATCAACCAATAACAAATGCTGACGAGGCTGTGGGGAAAAAGGAACACTACTCCACTGCTGGTGGGAGTGGTGAAACCACTGTGGAAATCAGTGTGAAGATTCTTCAAAAAACTAGGATTAGAAGTCCCATTTGACCCATATATTCCCCTGCTGGGTATCTTCCCAGAAGAATTAAAAACATCATACCACAGCAATATATGTGCACCCATGTTTATAGCAGCACAATTTGTAATAGCTAAATCTTGGAAACAAGCCAAATGCCCATCAACCAAGGAATGGATAAAAAGATATGGTCTTTTTATACAATGGAGTACTACTCAGCCATGAAGAAGGATAAACTGGAGACTTTTATAGGCAAATGGATGCAACTCAAGACCATATTCATAAGTGAAATAAATCAGACTCATATGCATAAACATCATATTGCCTCTCTAACTTGTGAAGCTGAAAGAATAAATAAGATCCAAAATGTAAAATAAATATTGTGAAATGGAAAGAAACTGTTCAAAAGGAAATAAGATGGGGAAAGGAGAAAAGAAGGAAGGGAAAAGCAAAAATATATATATATGTATATTTACAAGATACTTAAGATAGTTATACTACTAATTTCTCTTAATTCATTGAAAAGAAAGGTCAGTGCTGATATTGTCTGTAGAATTAAATACCTATATCTTGTACTCTGGGTAACCTTTTACTTATTTATTTTGGTACCAGGAATCAAACTCAGGACCTCGTGCTTTCCGGGCAGTTGCTGTGCCACTGAGCTATATCCCTGCCCCTCTGAGTAACTAATTTAAAGGTAACAATAAGCAATGTACTAATCATTGTTACTTCCCTATTATCTCATTTTGAAATTTTGTGAGTTTTTTTCTCTTTAAAATAAAATTAACAAAACAAAGTAAAATAAAATAAACTTTTGTTTTAAATTTTGAGACAAGGTCTCATTAAGTCACTAAGTTGCCCAAGCTGGACCCAGCCTGGGAATCTTTCTGCCTCAGCCTCTCAGAGTGCTGGGATCACTGACGTGCTGCACACCAACGTGCCTCACTTTGAATGACTATTCATGCATGAAATTACCTTCACCAGAGCTGAGGAGCCAGAGAGAGATCAGAGCACCTGGCTTTAGCAGTATAACAAGAAAAGCTGCACTGAAGACAGCAGGAAAGAAAAAGGTGCTTTGTTACCCTTCCCCCAACTCAAGCAGTGAAGCAGCCTATAGAGATACCTCCTGCTTGGAGAGAAAAAGAAAGTTAAGGTGCCCTTAGACTTGGAACCCAGGACTGGGGCAACCATTTTCACCATTCCCACAGGCCCAGACCAGGGCTCATTGATGAAGCCTCTGGATTTACCTAGGGCCGGTCAGGAACCTGCAGCCTTAACTGGATGGACTTAGATTCCAGCCTGCCCCACTTCTAACTCTGTCACAGGCCTCGGCTCCAACAGTCTCTGAGGTTGTGAACTTCAGGATCCCCAGTTTAATATCACTCCTGCTCATCCTTCCCCGCTAGCCCCAGGCAGCGTGGCCTGGAGAAAGATTTCATTTGCTAGTGGGTTATGGCAGAGAAGTAAGTGCAGGACTTTGACTTGGAACTCAGGGCCCAGCTTGGCAGAAGCCAGCCTGTGGACAGGGACAGCACCGAGCAAAAACCTGCAGCCCTGGTGAGATGGATCTGTGCCCTCTGATGGATGTCACTTCCAGCCGGCTGTGGTGGTCCCAGGCCGGAAAGAGACCACAGCATCAGGCTGCCATAGAAGCAGGGCCTTGTGCCGCCTCTGCACATCAGTGGCCTTGGTAGGCTGCAGGCTCTGGATGTGACTCAGTATTTGGTGCCTGGGGCTGAACATTCTGTTGTGAAGCTCAGTGCTGGGTGGGCAGAATGCAGTGGCTACAGATAGGTGTTTGGGCCCACCCTGGCTTGAGGTGGATACTAGCAGACCCAGTGAGTTAGCGTTATCCTCTTTAGGCACTCCCAGTCCATCTCATACAGCGCACTAACTGCACGTTTCCAACAAACAGGCTAGGAGCACCCTCTATTACTGAAACAGTGACAACACAGCAACCGGGGACTTGTAGCAAACATGGACTTAGGGTGCCATCTAGTGCTCAAATAGTGACAGTGACCATGGCTCAGAACAAATAAACAGCCTGCTTAGGATTTCCGGGAAGAAGGGCAAGGAGACAATTCTGAAAGTAGTCAGAGAAAAGAAACAACACATTAGAATGTGTTGACCTGAAAACAGACTTCTCAAAGGAGCCTTGCATTCCTTGAGGAAGTGGGATGATTTATTTACAGTGCTGAAGGGGAGTAAAACCTGCCAACCAAGACTACTATACTCAGCAAAGCAGTATTTCAGAAAGGAGGGAAACGTACAGATATTCTTACACATACAAAAGCTGAATTCATCTCCACTAGACCTATTTGTGGTGGAGTGCCAACTGGTAGTAAACCTGTAACACACAGCCAAACTGAACCAGTGAGATGCTGGGTGTGGGAGGCCGCCTGAGGATTGTTGCCAGCAGCATAAGAGGCAGACCCGAAGAAGTTAGGCTGTTGGGAGCTGGTAGAAGCTGTTGAGAAGATGTAGGGAGCTGTTGGTTTTCTTGGAGGAGCTCGTCATGCTGGCTTTCTTAATGAATTTGGCTGTTCTTGTCAGAGGAGGAGCTCAGGACCTCACTGTCACTGAGAACGGCTATGGTTCACTTTGGGGGCGCTCTGGTCCTCACTTTGAGCATCACTTCCTGTTTCCAGGGGGGAAGATGGTGCACTGCTCAGTCTCCTGGAGAAGCTTGTCGCCTTGGTTGTCCTGAAGGGGACTCGGCTGTTCTCATCATTGGAGGAGCTCAGGACCTCACTGTTACTGAGGATGGCTGTGATACTTTTGGGGGAGCTCTGGTTCTTACTTTGAGCATTGTTTCCTGGCTCCAGTGCAGATCCCTCAGCCTGCTAGCACAGATCCTTCATCCCACTGGCACAGACTTTCTAGCTTCCACCACTGACCTTTGGGCCTTCCCAGCAGATCCATGAAACAGGCCTGCATGAGACATTGTCCTGGGCTCTAGGCCTCCAGCTGGACTCATGACAGGCATTGTTATGGGCTCTAAGGCCTTCAGCTGGACTCATGCAGGACCATTATCATGGGGTTCAGGCCTTCAGCTGGCTTCTTTGGTTTTAGTGTGTGACAGATTTCTTGCACTCTCCTTTTGTATATGATTCTTTGAGTGACTATTATAAATAATTTTATAAAATATGTGTCTATTGTTCCCCTTGCAAAGCCCCAAACCATAACACTATTTAACAAGGAAGGCTAAAAGGAGTACTTCAAGTTGAAGGAAAAAGGCCATAATGAATAAGAAGACATTGGGAGGTATAAAACTCATTGGTAAAAGTAATACGATACAGAAAAATTTAGTATTCTCTAATGTTATAAACATGGTGTGTAAAACACATCTTTAGTATGATGACTAAAAACAAAATAATTAAGAATAATAAGAACATATTAATTTATTAACGAATAGGCAATATCAGAAGGTATGAGGCATTAAAAATTAAAACTATGGAATGGAGTGAAAGTGTAGAGTTTTAAAATTCTTTTTTTTTCTTTTCGTTTTCTTTGTCTTTATGATTAAAGTTAAATTGTTTTTATTTCAAAATAACTTGTTATGAAAGATTCTTTTATTAGCTTCATAATAGCCACAAAGCCAGAAATACAAACAAAGAATCAAAGCACCCAACTCGAAAAAAATCACTTAAACAGAAAGGAGCATGGAGAGAAGGAATTAAAAAAAAAAACCTAGGGAATAAGTAACAACATGGCAGCGGTAAGACCTTACCTATCAATAATTATATGTAAATATATTAAATTCTCCAATTAAAA